CGATTGCACGGTCAGCGCGGGACACTTTCAGAACGTGGTCGGGGGAGAGAAGAGCATTGAGTAATTTCCGAACTGGGGAAAGAGAAGGGGATGGGGCAGGGAGAAGGGCGGGGAGGAGCAGGAGGAGAACAGCAGGGATGTGGAAGGGGCGATTTGGCAGGATGAACTTTATCTGAGAGATGGGCGGGGACGGTAATCGGAGGGAGGCGATGCGGGGATCGGGAAATGACCAAACGACGATCTGCGGACGATGGGGACAGGACTGGAGGAAAACGGGGGGTATGAGGAAGGGGCGGATGATCACAAGGGGAACGGTAAAGGAAGAGGAGGGGGAAAGCATGGCATGGTATGACATCCACGGAGGCCACAGTCGCATGGCCCTGAGAAAAAGATCTCGGGTGAGCGGTGGTTGCTCATGCATATCATCCTCGCCCCATGGGGCGGGCGACGATATGCATAGATGAGTATGCGTTCGCAGCAATCTTAACATCCCTCGAGAAGTCCTCGAAATCCTGGGGCGCGACCCTGAAGCCGTTAACACATTTACATCCCGCATTGGCGATCACCCTCGCCCTGGGTACTCCGCCCACAGGGTACGAAGGCCAAGAGATCGGCTCGCTCTCCCCGAAAAGGGGCGGATGAGCGTGGAAAGGCGGCTGGACATCCGTCCTCGCCGGCACGTCGTCCCGATCGCCACCGCGACGGCGGCGATCACCAGCACCTGGAGCTCGGCCGCCGTGCTACCACATGAGGACGCTGAACAAGGGCCGACAGGGTGTACAGTCGGACCTAGGACAGTGTCGGGCCGGCTTGGGCCTCTTGGGGCTCTCTTGGCGTGTCTGCGAGCCTCTCTGGGCGGCCCAGGGCGGCCTGGGGCCAGCCTCTGGGGGCCGGTTGAGCCGACTTGGAGGCCCTGTGGGCCCGTCTTGGGGCTCTCTTGGGGGCCTCTTCGGCAATCTTGGCGAGTCTTGGGGACGTCTTGGGCCGTCGTGGATCGTGTGGAAGTCGAAAAGGCGAGCACGGCAAAAACACTGGAACAAAAAATGAAAGTCGAGCCTCTTGGGGCTCTCTTGACGTATCTGCGAGCCTCTCTGGGCGGCCCAGGGCGGCCCGGGGCCAGCCTCTGGGGGCCTGTTGAGCCGACTTGAAGGCCCTGTGGGCCCGTTTTGGGATTCTCTTGGGGGCCTCTTCGGCCGTCTTGGAAGCGTCTGGGGAACGTCTGAGGCCGTCGCGGATCGTATGGAAGCTGACCACGCGAGCATGGCAAAACACTGCAAAAAAGCAAGGACAGTCAATGTTTTTTCCTGCTCGGGGCCCTCTGGGGAAGGATCCCAGGCGGTCTCACGGAGCACCTTGGAGACCTGTCGGGCCGGCTTGGGCCTCTTGGGGCTCTCTGGGCGTAGCTTCGAGCCTCTCTGGGCCGGCCCGGGGCGGCCCGGGCGATGTTGCCCCCATTGATCCTGCAGCCTTCTGGCACGCTGGGCCCCCGGCATTAGAATATAGACGAAGGCTGACCCGTGGACTCCGTCCACGACACCTTTTTCTGGAATGGCTCTCGGAGAAGCGGCGGGGATTTCGCCGAAAACCTATAAAGCACGGCGGCGGCCGACCACGCCTTCGTGTCCGAGCTCTAGCAGTGCTGCAGCAGCTGGGCCGTCGCGGGGCCGCCGTCGTCGCCGTCATCGTCGGCGTCGTTGTCGTCGCCGCCACGAGGCCGCCGTCGTACCCGTCGTAGCCGGCGGCGCTGTCGTGGTGGTGATGGTGGTGGTGGTCGTCGTGGGTTGTGGGCACCGGAAGGGGGCTGGCGACATCGGTAGGACTGACCCGTGGACTCCATCCACGAAATCTGCACGAACTTGCATGTGACTGTGGGGCCCGACCTCGCATTCTGCGCATGCTACTGCGTGCTGCTGCTTGCTGCCGCTTTTGTGTTTATGTTCCGTCGACGTGGCGGGCCGGCGGGTGGTCTTGGGGGGCGTTTTCTCGGCCGACCGCGGGACCCTGGAGAATGGCCTCCGAAATTACGGATTTTGTTCCGTGGGCGTCGTTGATCCACGAACGATCCGTGCGAGACGTCTGTGCCTCATCCGGAGGGGGGAAAACTTCAGAGTTGGTACTGGCATTCCGTGGACGTGGCGAGCCAACGAACGTCCTGGGCGAGGGTTATTTGCTCCGCCTCTGCTTCCTTGCACTCTCTTGTCCGCGGTCGCCGCGGTCCGCCCATGTGCGGCCGCTGACCTGTCGGCCAAGGCTGTGGCAGCTGGCGGGCACGTGCCCCGCCGCGCTGGGCCACCGCATCGTGGTGCGGGTGGCGTTGGGGCGGCCTCGTGGGGCCCGTCCGTGCGCGCGGCTGTGCGTGCCGTGGGTTTGCCTCTCTGGGGTGGGGGCCACGCGGGGCTCGTGGCGCGCACGCCGCCCATGCGACGCCGCGTGCCGCGTTCTGTCCCACCCGCCAGCGCCCTGGGGTTTCTTCGCCGCGCCCCTGGCGTCTCGGGCGTCGCTGCGACGCGCGTCAATGTCTGGGGAGCGGCGTTCCCCTGGGCCGCGGCGCGGGCCTCTGTATCCCTCTGCCCTCCCGCGGCGCGTGGGACACGCATTTGTGATGAGCCCACAAACTCGGGGACAGTGCTCGCACTGTCGCAGGGTATTTGGGCTGGCACGGATGCTGCCCCTGCGTCTGCCCCGCTCCCCTGCCCTCTCCTCGTCCTTGGGGCGGGGGGGGGGTCGGGGTGCGGGGCCGCAGGTGGGAGACGGATGCTGGTGCTGCCTTGCCTGTGGGGCTGCCGCTTCTGCTTCCTTGCACTCTCGTGTCCGCGGTCCGCCCATGTGCGGCCGCTGGCCTGTCGGCCAAGGCTGTGGCAGCTGGCGGGCACGTGCCCCGCCGCGCTGGGCCACCGCATCGTGGTGCGGGTGGCGTTGGGGCGGCCTCGTGGGGCCCGCGCGGCTGTGAGCGCCGTGGGTTCGCCTCTCTGGGGTGGGGGCCACGCGGGGCTCGTGGCGTGCACGCCGCCCATGCGACGCCGCGTGCCGCATTCTGTCCCACCCGCCAGCGCCATGGGGGTTCTTCGCCGCGCCCCTGGCGTCTCGGGCGTCGCTGCGACGCGCGTCAAGGCGACGCTCGGGACGCCGCACCCCATGTCTGGGGAGCGGCGTTCCCCTGGGCCGCGGCGCGGGCCTCGGTATCCCTCTGCCCTCCCGCGGCGCGTGGGGCAGGCATGTGTGGGTGTCGTCGATCCACGAACAATCCGGGCGAGATGTCTGTGCCCCATCTGGAGCCTGGGGGGGAAACTTTCGAAATAGGTACTGGCATTATGTGGACGTGGCAAGTCGACGAACGTCCTGGGCGAGGGTTGATTGTTCCTCCCAAGGGCGTCGGAAAATAAACCTCCGAATCTGAGTTTATTTTCCGTGGGTATGGCAGCGCCCCAGGGCTTATGTTCCGCCTTGTAAGAACCTCTTGGGGCCCTGTTGAGCCGTCTGCCGGCCTCCTGGGAGCCTCTTGGGGCCCTCTTGGGCTGGCTTGGGTGCCCCTTGGGCCGTCTTGGGGCCGACTAGGACCGTCTTGGGCGGCTCTGGGGCTGTCCTCGGACTGCCTTGGGGCTATCTTGGGTCGTCTTTGGCCCCTGTTGGGGCTGTCATCGGAGCCTCTTGGGCCGTCATGGGCGCCTCAGGAGCCGTCCTGAGACCGCCTTGGGCCGTCTTGGGGCCCTCCCGGGGGCCTCCTGGGCCCTTTTGTGACGATCTTGGAAGACAGTATTGTCGTCTTGGGTGCTTTGAAGACGAAAAGCACAGGGATTGCCAAAATGAACGTTTTCCTTAAAGATTTTGATGAATATTCCTCGTTCGGGCTCTCTCGGGGCTCTTCTTCGAGCTCACTTGGAGCATTTGGGGCGCGTCTTGGGCCGTCAGGAGGCTATCTTGGGCGTTTTCGAGCGCTCTTGGACCATGTCGGAGGCCCTCTTGGATCTTCTTGGGGCGTCTTGGGGTCCTTTTCGGGGAGTTCTGATAGGGTCTCGGAGCGCTCGTGGGCCTTCCTGGAAGCGCGCCGAGGCCAGCTGGGGCTCGCGGGGGCCCGCAGGGCCCGCAGGGGGCGCCGGAGGAATGTGTCCGACAACCGCCCTTCTCGCACGCGCGGGGTCCTGCAATGTAGTAGAGATGACGTTGGGCTCCAGCTTCGCCTCCCACATCTCGTTCAGCAGCGCCAGCGCCGGCTGCCACTGCTCGCCTGTCTCGCACGCGTTGATCACAGCGCTGACGTTGGGCTCGAACTTCACCTCTCACATCTCGCTCAGCAACGCCAGCGCCGGCTGCCACTGCTCGCCCTTCTCGCACGCTCTGATCCCAGCGCTGTAGCTGATGGCATTGGGCTCCAGCTTCGCCTCCCGCATCTCGCTCAGCAGTGCCAGCGCCGGCTGCCACTGCTCGCCCTTCTCGCACGCGCTGATCCCAGCGCTGTAGCTGACTAGGGCTGACCCGTGGACTCCGTCCACCACATCTTTCTGGAATGGTTCTCGGAGGAACGGCGCAGATTGCACCGAAAATCTACAAACACGGCGGCGGCTCGGGCGGCGGCAGCGAGACCGCGCCTTCGTGTCCGAGCTCTTGCAGCGCTCCATCAGCTTGGCCCCGGAGCACTGCTCTTTCACACCCCTCCTATTGAGGGCAGTTTCGAAGTCTCTCGGGGATGTGCGTCGAAGTCGAAGCCCATCTGAGGCGTCTCGGGAGCGCCCGGGGAAGGGCTCGGGAGGCCATCGGGGAAAACCACCGAAAGCGCCGGGGAGGCTCGCAAGGATCTACAGGCAGGGCCCAAGAGAGCTGAAAGAACATTTGAAATTCAGTAAAATCTTAACAGAAACCGCTGTTGGGTGGGCCATCACCTCCGGGCACGCCTTGATGGTACGATCCAGTCGCATCGCCGCCAACGACAGGGTTTGTTCGCCAAGTCTCATTATGTTCGCCCTGAGGGTCTGTGGTCCGAGGAGTGCAGAGAGGTGCCTGGGTCATATCAATTGGCTGCTGTCCCAGGGGTCCGGTCTGGTTGGCCCGAAGAGTTTGCCAAGGCCCCTGGGGGAACAGAATGGCACAGCATATCGGGCAAAGGGGGGCGGTAGCTGGCCTGTCAGACCCGGCGTTCGTCTTCTGCCCAAGCGGCGCGGGGCCCACGGGCCCCAGGGTTGGCGGCCCGCTGGGTTTCCTCTAGTTCGCCCACGGTGTTGGAGGAGGCCTCCAGGCGAACAGAACGGGGCAGGACGATGAATGTGGGAGACTTGACGCATGCTTCCAGCCCCCCCAAGTGTTCGCCCGCAGGGTGTGGGGCCATGTTGGCTCCCTCAAAAGGCCGTCATGGAGCCTTCTATGCCCGTCTTGAGGGCGCCGTCTGCCGTGATGGGGCCGTCTTGGTTCGTCGTGGGCCCCTCATGGGAGGGTCCGTAGGCCGTCGTAGGCCAACCTGCCCGGAACTGACGCGGGCCCTCTTGTTCGGGTCGAACTTGGGGGCCATGGCGGCAGGATCCAAGATCGAGGGGGGGCGCCGCGAAAGCAGGATGCAAGCGAGGGAGCTCGTCGAGGTAAGACAACAAGCGAAATGGGCGGCGTTGCACGGGGCTGACAAAAGGATCGTCTGGATGGTGGATGGCGCGCCCGTCGTCGTCGTCGTCGTCGTCGTCGTCGTCGTCGTCGTCGTCGTCGTCGTCGTCGTCGTCGTCGTCGTCGTCGTCGTCGCCGTCGTCGTCGCCGCTGCCGCCGCCGTCGTAGGAGGGTGCTGAAAGGGCCCCAGATCCCCCCAAGTCCCGGGACGCGAGAACGATCCCCGGTGCGTGGGCCGTGGCGTTGCCCTGGGGGCCGATTCTCGGAGGCCGAGGTCCAGGAGGACGCGTTTTAGTCGGGGTGATCCGCGGCTTTTCCCGCAGGGGCCTGCGGGTAGTTTTTCTGTAAAAACCGGCGTGGAGATCCCTCTGGCGGCGTCTGTGGCGCGACTGGAGGGGGGGGGGCCTGGGCCCCGAATCCGAGCCCGAGGCCAAGCCCGAGCCCGTGCTTTGAGCCCGAGCCGAAGGCCAGGTCGGAGCCCGACCCCGAGCCCGAGCCAGTGCCCGAGCGGAGGCCCCAGCCCAAGCTCGAGCACAAGTCGAAGCTCAAGCCCAAGCCTGAGCCCGGGCCCGGGCCGGAGCACGACCCAGGCCCGAGCGCCGAGCCCGAGCCCAGGCTGAAGCTCGAGGCCGAGCCCGATCCCGAGCCCGGGCCCGAGCCCAGAGCTCGAGCCTGAGCCCGAGGCGGAGCAAATTTTCGGAGGGGGGCGTTTTGTCGTTGCTTTCAGTGTGTGGCCCCGCAGGGGCTGCCGGGGAGTTTTTTTGTGAAAACCTGCCCGGAGGTCCCTGTGGCGATGCCGTTTGGGCTGCCTGGCGCCAGGGCCGCCGACGGCGACGACGACGGGGACGAGGCACTTTTCCTGTCTGGCCATATGCAGGCGCTGGACCGCCGAGGAGGCGTCTTGGGACCGTCTGGAGCCCTCTTGGCCCGTCTTGAGGCCCTCTGGGCCTCGTCGGTGGTCTTGGAGCGGTCTTGGGGACCTCTTGGGCCGTCTTGGAGCGCAGGGACGGCCAAAAGGGGAGAATGCGAAAAACATCGAAAAACACAATGGAAATCTACGATTTCTCCCGCTCGGGGCCCTGCTGGGAAGCCTCTTGGGGCGCCTCTTGGGGCATTTTGGCCGCCTCTGGGGCCGTCTTGGCCCAATCGTCGGCGTCTTGGGCCCATCTTGGGGCGTCCCGGAGCCCTCTGGGGCCGTCTTGGGGGCCTCTTGGGGCCCTCTTGGCGCGTCTTGGGCCTATCTTGGCGCGTCCCGGGGCCCTCTGGGGCCGTCTTGGGGGGCCGTCTTGGGCTGTCTTGGGGCGTCTTGGGACCATCTGGGGGCCCTCTTGGCCCGTCTTGAGGCCCTCTTGCGGGCCTCGTCGGTGGTCTTGGAGCGGTCTTGGGGACCTCTTGGGCCGTCTTGGAGCGCAGGGACGGCGAAAAGGGGAGAATGCGAAAAACAATTAAAAACACAATGGAAATCGACGATTTCTCCCGCTTGGGGCCTTGCTGGGAAGCCTCTTGGGAGGCCTCTTGGGGCATTTTGGTCGCCTCTGGGGCCGTCTTGGCCCAATCTTCGGCGTCTTGGGCCCATCTTGGGGCGTCCCGGAGCCTTCTGGGGCCGTCTTGGGGGCCTCTGGAGGCCCTCTTGGCGCGTCTTGGGCCCATCTTGGGGCGTCCCGGGGCCCTCTGGGGCCGTCTTGCAAGGGGCCTCTTGGGGCCCTCTTGGCGTGTCTTGGGCCTGCTACGCTTTTTGACCAGAATCGCCATTCTCGCACGCGCGGGTCCCTGCATTGTAGTATAGATGACGTTGGGCTCCAGCTTCGCCTCCCTCATCTCGCTCAGCAGCGCCAGCGCCCGCTGCCACTGCTCGCCTTTCTCGCACGCGCTGATCCCAGCGCTGTAGCTGATGACGTCGGGCTCCAGCTTCGCCTCCCACATCTCGCTCAGCAGCGCCAGCGCCCGCTGCCACTGCTCGCCCTTCTCGCACGCGCTGATCCCAGCATTGTAGCTGACTAGGGCTGACCCGTGGACTCCGTCCACGACATCTTCCTGGAATGGTTCTCGGAGGAACGGCGCAGATTGTACCGAAAATCTACAAACACGGCGGCGGCTCGGGCGGCGGCAGCGAGACCGCGCCTTCGTGTCCGAGCTCTTGCAGCGCTCCAGCAGCTTGGCCCAGCGCACTGCTCGTTCACCCCCCTCCTATTGAGGACAGTTTCGAAGTCTCTCGGGGATGGGCGTCGAAGTCGAAGCCCATCTGAGGCGTCTCAGGAGCGCTCGGGGAAGGGCTCGGGAGGTCATCGGGGAAAGCCACCGAAAGCGCCGGGGAGGCTCGCCAGGATCTACAGGGAGGGCCCAAGAGAGCTTCAAGAAAACTTGAAATTCTGTACAATCTTTAGAGAAACTGCTGTAAGGTCGGCCATCACCTCCGGGCGCGCCTTGATGGTGCGATCAAGTCGCATCACCGCCAACGGGAGGGTGTGTTCGCCATGTCCCATTCTGTTCGCCCAGAGTGTCTGTGGAGGCCTTCGGGCGAACAGAACGGGACAGGGCAAGGAATGGGGAAGACTTGTCCGAATCTCCTGGGCCCCCCAGGTGCTCGTCCGAAGAATGCGGAGAGGTCCCAGGGTCATATCAAGTGGCTGCTGTCCCAGGGGTCCGGTCTGCTTGGCCCGTAGAGTTTGCCAAGGCCCCACGCCATCTTAAGCCATCTTGGCCATTCGCACCGCTCGGGCGCCCCGACGAATCCACGCTCTCCTCCAGGCATCTTGCCATCACCTCGGAGCCTTCGCCTTCCAGAGCCTCGCGGGCTCAAACGGCCCAGCTGTCAGCCGCGCATGCAACCCACCGGAGCCGTCACGACAAGAAAACGTCACCATGCCATGTCAAGTGGCCCCCAAAGGGGTCTGCAAGCACTTTTTCTTAGAAAAATGGTCCGCAGGGCCCTTTGGCGCCCAGAACGAGCCTACAGTAAGCGATAGTGGCCCTCGGAGGCCCTCTGAGAGCCATCTTGGACCGTCTTGGCCATTCGCGCCGCTCGGGTCTTGGAGCGGTCTTGGGGACCTCTTGGGCCGTCTTGGAGCGCAGGGCCGGCGAAAAGGGGAGAATGCGAAAAACATTGAAAAACACAATGGAAATCGACGATTTCTCCCGCTCGAGGCCCTGCTGGGAAGCCTCTTGGGGCCTCTTGGGGCCCTCTTGGGTCCTCCCGCCTCTGGGACCGTCTTGGCCCAATCTTCGGCGTCTTGGGCCCATCTTGGGGCGTCCCGGAGCCCTCTGGGGCCGTCTTGGGGGCCTCTTGGGGCCCTCTTGGCGCGTCTTGGGCCCATCTTGGGGCGTCCCGGGGCCCTCTGGGGCCGTCTTGGGCTGCCTTGGGGCGTCTTGGGACCATCTGGGGGCCCTCTTGGCCCGTCTTGAGGCCTTTTTGCGGGCCTCGTCGGTGGTCTTGGAGCGGGCTTGGGGACCTCTTGGGCCGTCTTGGAGCGCAGGGACGGCGAAAAGGGGAGAATGCGAAAAACATCGAAAAACACAATGGAAATCGACGATTTCTCCCGCTCGAGGCCCTGCTGGGAAGCCTCTTGGGAGGCCTCTTGGCGCATTTTGGCCGCCTCTGGGGCCGTCTTGGCCCAATCTTCGGCGTCTTGGGCCCATCTTGGGGCGTCCCAGAGCCCTCTGGGGCCGTCTTGGATGCCTCTTGGGGCCCTCTTGGCGCGTCTTGGGCCCATCTTGGGGCGTCCCGGGGCCCTCTGAAGCCGTCTTGGGGGGCCGTCTTGGGCTGTCTTGGGGCGTCTTGGGACCGTCTGAAGGCCCTCTTGGCCCGTCTTCAGGCCCTCTTGCGGGCCTCGTTGGTGGTCTTGCAGCGGTCTTGGGGACCTCTTGGGCCGTCTTGGAGCGCAGGGACGGCGAGAAGGGGAGAATGCGAAAAACATCGAAAAACACAATGGAAAGCGGCGATTTCTCCCGCTCGGAGCCCTGCTGGGAAGCCTCTTGGGAGGCCTCTTGGCGCATTTTGGCCGCCTCTGGGGCCGACTTGGCCCAAGCTTCGGCGTCTTGGGCCCATCTTGGGGCGTCCCGGAGCCTTCTGGGGCCGTCTTGGGGGCCTCTGGAGGCCCTCTTAGCGCGTCTTAGGCCCATCTTGGAACGTCCCGGGGCCCTCTGGGGCCGTCTTGGGGGCCTCTTGGGGCCCTCTTGGCGTGTCTTGGGCCTGCTACACTTTTTGGTCCGAATCGCCCTTCTCGCACGCGCGGGTCCCTGCATTGTAGTATAGATGATGACTAGGGCTGACCGTGGACTCCGTCCACGACATCTGGCCAAGAGTATTCTAGGAGGGGGCGGCGGGAATGGTGCCGAAAGGCTATCCGCCCCTTCCACAGCAGCGCCCCGAGCTGCACCGGCACGCTCCGTGGCGTCTGCCGGCGCCGCCCGACGGGGACGATGACGGCGGCGGCGGCGAGACACAAAACCCTTGCGGGGAGGTAGGGAGGTAGTTCGGACGCGCGGCGCCCCTGCGCGATGATCCCACGGTTAACCACTTAGGGTCTCCTAGGGGCCGTGTGGGGGCCTCTTGGAGCTTCTTTCGGCCTTCGAGGGGGCCTGTGGGGGCCCTCGTTGGCTCTCATCGGTGCCGTTTGGGCCGTCTCGGAACCATCCTGGGCCGTTTTGAGCGCCTCTTGGGCCGTCTGGGAGCCGTCTTGGACCGTCTTGACGGCTCTTGGGTCTGTCTTGCGTGCCTTCGGGGCCGTGTTGGAGCCGTCGTGGGCCGTCTTGGGCGCCTACTGGGCCATCTTCGGGCCGTCTTTGGGGCTGGTCCAAGGGGGCTCCAAGAGCGCACCATGACGCCGCCGGGCGCGGGTCCACCATTCTGCCACGAGAGGCCTTCCTGAGGCAGAATGCGCCCGGCTCTGTCTTGGAGGGGCCCGAATGCCTCAACAGGGCCGCAAGATCGCCCCCAGGGGGCCCCAAAACCGCATGTACTTGATATGCTTCTTGGACTTGCGAGATGGGCATCCAAGTACATGCGTCTTGGGGCCTTGTCGGGGCCATCTTGGGGCCCTTCTGGCCCCCTCTTGGGGCCCCTCAGGAGCGCTCCCACCTTTCCTGCCCTCCTCTTGGCGCCGCCATGGGCGCCTGAAGAACCGTCCTGGCGCAGTCTTGCGCCGTCTTGGGGCCTTCCTGGCAGCCTCCTGAGGCGATCTTGATGGCCTGTGTGGCCGTCTTGAACGCTTCGAAGACGAAAAGCACGGGAACTCCCGAAATGTGCGTTTTCCCCCTTGCCTTGGAATTGGGACGATTGGTCCTTGTTCGGGCTCTCCTGGGCTCTATATGGAGCTCACTTGGAGCATTTTTGGGGAGCCATCGGGCGGCTGTCTTGGGCGTCTTCGAGCGCTCGGGGCCCCTCTCGGAGGCCCTCTTGGACCGTCTTCGGGCCCTCAGTCTTGGGGGCCTCCGGGGGCGGCTCGGAGCGCTCTTAAGCCATCTTGGAAGCGCGCCCGTGCCCTGGGGACCTCTGGGGAAGGTTCTGGGGACGTCTCATGGAGCACCTTGGAGGCCTCTCGGGCCGGCTTGGGCCAATCTTGGGCCAATTTCTAGCGTCTGGGGCCCACCTGGGGGCCTGTTGAGCCAGCTTGGGGCCCCTTCGGGCCCGTCTTGGGGCTCTCTTGGGGGCCTCTTCGGCCGCGTCTTGGGGACGTCTTGGGCGGTCGTGGATCGTCTGGAAGCCGACAAGGCGAGAACGGCACAAACCTTGCAACAAGTAACGAGAATATGCGTTTTTTCTTACTCGGGGCCCTCTGGGGAAGCTTCTGAGGAGGTCTCATGGAGCACCTTAGAGACCTCTGGGGCCGACTTGGGCCTCTTGGGGCCCTCTTGGCGTGTCTTGGAGCCTCCCTGGGCGTTCCTGGGCGGCCCGGGGCCAGCCCGGGGAGGCTTTGACTTCATTGATCCTGCGGCGTTCTGGCACGCACGTCCCCCGTGGAGCCGACTTGGAGGCCCTTTGAATCGTCTTGGGGCTCTCTTGGGGGCCTCTTCGGCCGTCTTGGAGGCGTCTTGGGAACGTCGTGGGCCGTCGTGGATCGTGGGGAAGCCGACAAAGCGAGAACGGCAAAAACCTGGCAAACAAAACGGAACATCAATGTTTTTTCCTGCTCGGGGCCCTCTGGGAAAGCTTCTGGGGGGGTCTCATGGAGCACCTTGGAGACCTCTGGGGCCGACTTGGGCCTCTTGGAGTCCTTTTGGCGTGTGTTGGAGCCTCCCTGGGCGTCCCTGGGCGGCCCGGGGCCAGCCCGGGGCGGCTTTGACTTCATTGATCCTGCGGCATTCTGGCACGCACGACCCCCGTGGAGCCGACTTGGAAGCCCTTTGAATCGTCTTGGGGCTCTCTTGGGGGCCTCTTCGGCCGTCTTGGAGGCGTCTTGGGGAGGTCTCACTGAGCACCTTGGGCCTTTGGCGTGTCTTCGAGCCTCTCTGGGCGGCCCGGGGCGGCCCGGGGCCAGCAAGGGGCGATGTTGCCCCCGTTGATCCTGCGGCGTTCTGGCACGCTCGGCCCTCGGCATTAGAACAGAAGTGACGTTGGGCTCCAGCTTCGCCTCCCACATCTCGCTCAGCAACGCAAGCGCCCGCTGCCACTGCTCGCCCTTCTCGCACGCGCTGATCCCAGCGCTGTAGCTGACTAGGGCGAACCCGTGGACTTCGTCCATGTCATCTTGGGCCAGTCTTGGCTGAAAAGGCCGTCTTGGGCCTGTCTTCGCTCGAAATGGCGAGAAGGTCGAAATCTTTCAGAAACCATCGAAGAATCAATGAGTTCGTTTGCCGCGGCTCGTCTGGAGCGTCTTCGAGCGGTCCTGGGCCGTCTCGGAGGCCCTGTTTGACCGCTTCCTTCTCTTCGTCCGCCTTCCGCTCTACCTCCGCCTAGACAGCCTTCGGAGCGTCAC